CACCACCACCACCACCACCACCACCACCACCACCACCACCACCACCACCACCACCAGTGTCGGGCTATACAGTTGCACCACGGACCCTCTGCTCCTGCTTGTTGTCCACGTCGTCGAACACAGCATGAGCTGAACAAAACTGTTTCTTGCTCGTCGCGCCCAATTCTTCAGTATGTGCGCCAAGCTGCATTGACCCCATGCAGTGTTACCCCTTTGCACCTGCCGCTAGCTGAGCCCTGCATAGGTCCAGGTGGCTAGTGGGTGGAAGGTTCCACCAGCAAGCATTTCCTGTTCACCACTGTGTCCAGACAATTAGACAGGTTTGATCGTGGGAGAACGGAACATTTGGGTTCAATGTTCATTCCAGCAAACACTAGGCCAACCCAGTCCAAGGCAAAGGCATTCATGCGCACAATTTTTCGATACCTGCAGATGAGGCGGGAGTCAATTTGATCTTGTGCAAGAAGCGAATTTTCTCTCTTTGTCAAAGTCGATGGACTTGTTTGGCCGAAGTTTGTAGGTAGGGTTTTTAGAACTCGAACCTACAATGTAGTGCTGGCACCTTTTCTCAGTAGGTAGACTCAAGGCCTAACATGCCGCAGTATATCGTATCTATATGATACACACACACAAGTGAAGACTGTATTGTAGGAACACTGGCAGTGAACGTGCTCCCTTGACTGCCCTTGTCCGAAGGGTTTACTTCTTGGAGTTATAGTACTGTAGAAGTCCAGCTGTGCCAAAGAATCCAGTCCTTGCCTAGGGCTTAAAGCTGCAAGAGGAAGAGGAAGAGGATGAGGAGGAAAGCTGTTTGCTTCTGAAGCTTTTGATTTGGAAGTGGTCCTTGCGCATTTGGTTTCCTGTTTCTCCTTTCCAGGAAGTTGCACAACGGTTGTCCCTTCATTCATGGACATTGAAGGGAGTCCGCGGTGTACCTTTGCCACCCAATGGAGAGATGCATCAGCGCCTTGGTATGGAGATACATCAACGGCGACTTGGTGTTTGAGCAGCTTTCTATGTGGCAAAAACTGTTTTTTTTTGTTTGGCCAAGGAAGCACGTCAAGAAGCTGGACGCGTGTCTGGGCTGAAGGGGAGCTGAATCTTTATCAAGAAACCTGCACAACGGCTGTAGCCCCTGAAAGATCAACCCTTCACCTTCCACCTGCAGCCACGCTGGACGAACAGGAGCCGCTGCCTCACAGAATTTGCTTTGAGGTATTTGGAGACTGTCTCCGCTGAAACGTTGAGCCGTGAAGTATCATGGAAGCGCTTGGTTCACAAAAGGCGATACCAGGAAGCTTTCCAATGAGGGATCAAAAGCCTCCTGACAGGCTCAATCCCGGCAGAAGCGAAGAGTCTAGGTGTCGTCCGCTTAATCTGGAGGACAAAAGCGGGAACAGCGGCAAAAGAGCCAAACATTTCCAAAAGACGTGATCCGTGATCTAGAATCTAGAAGTTCTTTGGGAGTTAAAGCCGTCAAAGTCCAGTCTTTGAGATTTCGATTGCACAGCCGCGGCGGTGGACAAGATTGGCCTTTGCTTTTGCTGGCTGGCTGTCATGGGGCCACCATGATTCATTTTTATTCTTTTTCAATTTTGCTGCGTTGGGTTGACCGTAGCTCTCAAAGCCTTTTTCCACACTCAATTACCTGCACCGGCTCCAAGCTGAAGCGGGCTTTTGATGCCACAGCAAAGCAAGTGCCAGCTGGCTGCACTTGCGGCTCGTTGAGTGCCAAGGCACAAACGAGGATGAGTGGCACTGGGTTGGAAACTTTTGATCATTGTTGAGCTCCATTGGCTTGCAATCCTGCCCAAAGTGCAAAAGGAAATCACTTTGTGATTAAATTCTTTCTATGGACTGTTGGTTTGGGCAGCCAACACAAACCCGAGCACACCAGACCGACCGTGTGAGGTTTTGGATCCTTGCAGCGCAGAAGCGGAAAACACCCTTGGAGTCTGATTTCGATTCGTTGCTTGTTCACTATGTCGGTTACAGTGCATGATATCCGGGGCATTGTGGTTGCGAGCTTGGGAGCTTCCTCTACTTTGACTTCAAATCTTCTTTCCTTTTTTGGCAGCAAGTTGCACATGGACCGTGTGGGACGCCCATGACACTCCCATGAAACTCCATGCATCCAAGGGTGAGGTCGGACGTTTGCTGCTAAGCTTCTGGGATGTGGCCAGAATGACATTCATTTTTTCCGATCATGGAGATTCTAATTCACCCAAGTTTGTTGTGAGGAGAACAGAGGCCCAGAGGCAGCACAACCTCCGAACTCCAAACCAGTTGTTGACGGAAAGAGAAGATGTACTGGTAAGTCTATCATTGTCTATCCGTCCATCCCTTGTTCAGATCAGGAGAAACTAGGTCCAATCCATGGAATGTGTCCATAGATCTTTCGAAAGCTCCCACCGCGCCACGAGCACTTGCTGCTTGTTGCGTAATTGGGACGGACATGAGTGGCAGCTGCCTCGCGTGGAGCTGTTTCGGGAGACTCGGCCATACCACGCGTCCTTAGCACTAGTAGTTACTAGTAGTAGTGTCCTCTTGTTCCTAGTAGTAAGGCCAGGAGCTACTAGGAGCGTCCTTGCTCCTAGTAGCGATGCCCTTTGCCATAGTAAGGCGAGGAGCACCCCTAGTAGCGTCCTTGCTCCTGGTAGCGATGCCAGGAGCCCCTAGTAGCGTCCTTGCTCCTAGTAGCGATGTCAGGAGCCCCTAGTAGCGTCCTTGCTCCTAGTAGCGATGCCCTTTGCCATAGTAAGGCGAGGAGCACCGCTAGTAGCGTCCTTGCTCCTAGTAGCGATGCCCTTTGCCCCTAGTAGCTTCTTGTTCCTAGTAGTAAGGCCAGGGCACCCCTAGTAGCGTCCTTGCTCCTAGTAGCGATGCCCTTTGTTACTAGTAGCAACTTGAGCCTAAAGGAATGATGCTTTACATGTTGGGCCGGCCAGTTTCCCGAAAAAGATCTCTTGTGAACACAGGCAGCGGTGTCACACGGTTGGGTGGCAGACGTCGGTGGATTCATAATCCAATGACATGCTGAGTACGGAAAACGAGCTTGATGCCAACAGATCTGGTGCTTGCCACGCAGCTGCCAAGCCGCAGTGGGTGATGGTGGTTCGCTGCCCAAGGCCATGACTTGGCACACCCCTCATCCGCACATTTTGCTTTTTAGAATGTTTTTCAATTTTCATCCTTAGGCTACCTAAGGCTGATCATGACCAGCTCTTCTGCACAACTGTACAACTCTCCATGTGCTTTTGAGTGAAGTTTCAGGGTTAGAAGGCTGGTCCGCTCAGTACTGGACATTGGAAACAATGAGCATTTTGTTGATGGTAGATTTTTTCACTTCACCTCAATGTTGAAGATTCCTGACACTTTAAATAGAAACAATAAGCTACTAGGAACAAGTGCATCGCTACTAGGAGCAAGGGCCTTACTACTAGGAACAAGAAGCTACTAGGAGCAAAGGGCAATATTCATATTTCAGGCTCCTTGTGACTGCTAAACAAACCTCCAAACCGATTGAAACCTGGACTGGGTCGGTGGTGACCGGATCGGTCGCTGTCCAAGAATTGGCCCACTCCTGTCGTTTCGATGTTTCCAGTGATCCTGTTTTTGGACTGTATGTGCTGCTGCACCCCTATCATTCCTCCATGCAGCTTCTGAAAAGGGCTTGGAGTATGATTCAACAAGTCTCTGTATCGCTGTATCAGTGCATCATTTGTCAAAAGTACATGCCATGCCAAACCAACTCAGTACCATGAAAGCGATTGACTACTGTAAGTGCAACATCATTGTTTCAATTCAAATTTGTTGGCCACTTAGCTTGGAAGGCGGAGAAGCTAGACACGAAAGAAAGGTGCTTAAATATTCTGTTGGCATGTGTCATAGCGCGAACTCCTTCAAACTTCAAACACCCTACCAGGAAAGCAAAACATTGGTTGACGGAGATCCCCACTTTCACTATCACATCAGAAGCTCTAAGAGAAAAAAGTCATGACTTGCTGACTTTACGGTCAATTATCACAGCACAGGCTACGGGAAAATTGACTTGAGCTTTTCCTCGTGCTCAAACCTGAAAAAAAGCCTAAAAAAAGGACGCGCAAAAAAGAGGCTTTCTACTTTGGTGAGCCGGCTGGTTGGATAGACCCAAGGGGCCATTAAGAAGCCAGTGGGCCAATGGCACCCACCACTCTCTGCTTTTGAACCACTGGTCATACAATTCTACATGAGCCAGAGATTGCAGTTTATCTCTTTACAAGTTGTTGAACTCCTTCACCAGAAACGGGCCAAGGGGCTCATTATTTTTTGTGCTCCTCTCCATCTAGCCTTTGTGAGGAGAAAGAATAACATGTATTTACACGCAGGAATCGCCTACGATTGCATCGATGCAGAATGAGTTGAGCTTCCATGAATCTAGAAAACTGAGACAAATGGCCACGTAAACACCTGGCTCAAGTAAACTTGTCGGTGTCTGCCACGGGGACCGCTTGCTTTCATGCAATGAAATGTAGCATTTGAGGCAACAAGCCGTGCAATTGTCCCCGTGGCCGACGGTGGGTTCAGATGGCCTCAGAGTCGGATTTCGACATTGACATTGACGCAGATGATTTGATCCCAGGCTGGATTGACCGTTGGATGTCAGTTTTGGAGGCGGATTCTGAGGAGATTTAGATTCTCACATTGATTCGAGACAGATTTAGACTCGATTTCGGATTTTGGAGTCAGAGTTACATGAACCCGAGGCACCGAAGCGCGGCCCTCCACGCTTAAGGCTTCCAAGTCGTTGCTGGGCTTTGAGCCCAGCAGCTCAGATGGCAGCAGTTCTGAGGACAGCAGTGGATGGAACAGCTATTATATGGCTGTTTCTGTTTTTTGGACTGGAAGTTGGCAACAATTTTAACAAGAGAGAAGATAGGAGCACACAGTTATTTTTTAGGACAATGGCTGGCTGCTTTTTATGCCGCGTAGAAAAAAGTTACTGTAGGCGCCTAGGGCTCAATCTGGGGAGGGTAATTGGATTAGTTCCAAGACCTTTTTGCAGGGAGCTGCTTCAACAGCTTAGACAGGACATCTGGTTCAAACATGTTCAATAGGTATGCAAAGATAACAGCTAGTGAGCGACGTTTCAGCTTCTAATTCCAGGAGGGTCTGGCGAGATCGCCTCCAGAGCCGGCTCTCCTGGCGGAGCCTCGGAAGTGGAACTCTTGATGATGATGATGATGATGATGATGATGATGAT